CGAGGGAAACAGACAACACCGGGCCACAGAAAACTAACATCCTTACAGTACCCCCCCCCCCCAAAGACGCCTCCAGGCGTCCCCAAACCCCCCCCCTCACGAAGGACTAGGGTGGGTGGAGGGCGGCACTGCAAGGGTGGAGGGCCCGAGGAAAACACGAGGACCAGAGAAAAGACACGAGGGATCACAAAGAACGAGACACGAGGAGCCAAGGAGAAAAAGGACACGAGGAACCAGAAAAGGGACATGAGGAGCCACAGAGAGCGAGGACAAGAGGAGCCAGAAAACGAGGAGAAGGACACGAGGAGCCAGAAAACGAGGACACAAGGAGAAAAAGGACACGAGGAACCACAGAGAAGGGACACGAGGAACTAGAAAAGGGACACGAGGAACCACAGAGAAGGGACACGAGGAGCCAGAAAAGGGACACGAGGAGCCAAAAAAGGGACACGAGGAGCAAAAGGACACGAGGAGAAAAAAGGACACGAGGAGCAAAAGGAAGAAAAACAAGACACGAGGAGCCAGAGAAAACAAAACACTAGGAGCCAGAGAAAAACAAAACACTAGGAGCCAGAGAAAACAAAACACTAGGAGCCAGAGAAAAACAAAACACTAGGAGCCAGAGAAAAACACACTAGGAGCCAGAGAAAAACACACACTAGGAGCTAGAGAAAACAAAACACTAGGAGCCAGAGAAAAGGACACGAGGAGACATGGAGAAAAAGGGACAAGAGGAATTCCAAAGAAAGAGACACGAGGAGCCAAAGAGAACGAGGAACCAGAAAGCAAGGAGCAAAAGGACACGAGGAGCAAAAAAGGACACGAGGAGCAAAAAGAAAAACAAGACACGAGGAGCCAGAGAAAACAAGGAGACACGAGGGATCACAAGGAATATGGACGGTCAAGGGACCGTCCCTAAGAGACACTGTTCCGGCGGGCGGCCGGGAGGCTGTCCATCAGACCGGGCCAGGTCAGGGGGGCGGCCGGGAGGCCGTCCAAAACACAGGGCCCAAAGGAGCACTGCTTGCGGCGTGGAAGCCTGGAGAGCTGCAGCTTGCGGCGTGGAAGCCTGGAGAGCTGCAGCGGACGGCGTGGAAGCCTGGAGGGCTGCAGCAGACGGCGTGGGAGCCTGGAGGGCTGCAGCAGACGGCGTGGGAGCCTGGAGGGCTGCAGC